ATGCGAGTAGAAAATGCATTTGATTAGAAAAAAGTGTATATATCTGTATGTATTCTATGGGCTTGTTTTCTCAATCTTTCTTTGAATTAGTAATCAAAATGATCTATAGTTATTTTATGAAATTCTGAAAAGTTTAATAGATGTGAAAAGGAGTTCATATGAACTGAATGTTACCTGCGGTTTAAGCTGAGGAAGTGAAAACCATGTTCACAGGTGAAGAAGTAGCCGAGATTGAAAGGCAGTATGGGACTAATGGGTGGTGGCATCCAAGCATATCTGAGTGAATACCGGAAGTCTCTTTCTGTATATGTAATGCTGGAAAGCGCCATCTGGGAGAACTCTGTCCTGTGACTTCATAGAATCAGTTTGCTCTTGTGTGAATCTTGAGAGTCCATCATCATAAGGTGACCAGTCTTTCTCTGTCGTCACAGTTTCAAGTCTAAGTTCAGCAGAGGGTGAAATGTCTGGTTTGTGCGTTGATGTTTTGAGCTCATCAGAAGGTGGTGAAGACAAGTCTTGTTTTTGGGTCACTGTTTTGAGCACTACATCAACAGAGAGTGAAGAGTCTAGTGTTGAGTCATGGGTGGTATTACTGGTGCTGAGATTGGCTGTGGGGATAGTAGATATGGGAGTGTGAAGAGGTGGCTTTGTAGAGAGAGGTGTTGTGGGAAGTAGTGAGATGAAGTCATGGCGCATTAGGTAGCCAGTGGGTCTTGGAAACCTGGGTGGGTGATTGAGGTCAGGAACTTGTAGTGATCTCGGGTAAGTGTAGCTTGGAGGCAGGTACAAATGACTATTATAGCTCGGACGCAGCTGCTGGTGAGGAGGCGGATTCTGCATGATCATATCACATAAAGCGTCAACTGTTTGTCTCAGTTTACGTTTCTGAAACGGAAAATTGGGTTGAGGTTTACTTACAACCCATTGAATGCGTGGACCATGGTCAAATGGGAGTTGGTTGACTGGGAGGGGAGAAGCTAGTCCTTGTGAAGGTTTTGGTGTGAGAGTGAATGGTTCAGCAGCAGCGTTTAGATTTGAAGGAGTAGCAGCCTGTAAACACAAAGTTTTAAAGCAAATGAAAACCGTTAAAATATTCTTGAGAGATCGATAAAGAAAAGTGTAACGTAACGAAGCCAAAACCTTTGGTGTCTCTAGTTTAGTACAAGGACTATCTCCCAACATCTTCACCTTCTCACCTGAAGAAGCCTGGGACCTAGTGGTATCCTCCTTCAAAATCATTAGAAAACTCGTAAGGCATGAACCTAGTTCTGGTAGGATTACACAAACTCTGATTCTTAGTATGACATTAGACACTTATCTAACCAATGTTCAACACCAATTTACATTTTCAACTTGATGCGCCTCTAGAGCCTAAGGTTTCTTGAAGTTTCTAACATCCCTCAATAGACATCAAACTCAGTAACGTCTAATAGTGCTATGTTGTGACCGTTGTGGAGTATCACATTGCAATGTGGCAATGTACCAATACAAATCACATTTCTAATAATCTTTACAAGTAACAAAGATTGTACCTGGTTTCCTCCTGATAGGCTCATAGAGCTGCTATTCTTATGCTGACTCCGTACCAGTGAAGACCGTGGAGATCGTCCAAGAGAACTCAATCTAGAAGCTGAATCCAAAACTTTCTTCTCAGAAGCTGACGTGACAAGTACACCATCCATCAAGATCCCATCATCAGAGCATGAAACCGGAAACCGCTGCTTACGAGAGATTGGATCAGACTTTGAGTACTTCTTGAGGAGTGACTTGGCATTGTTGCTAATAACGCTATAGTTTCTCTTGGGAGTCACTGGACTCAAAAGAGATGACATTTTGTGTTGGAAACGTCTGTGTTTGATCATATCCATAGGCCACGTCTGGTTGCTTTGTGGACTCTGCTCTTCATCCACCACAAATGTCTCCTCTTTCTCCATTAGGTCTCTTACGGTTTGAGAGAATACAAAGATTGCTTGGAGCACAAGAGACTACAAAAGTTGAGATTTTTTCCGTCAAAATCACCAGAAAAATCCTTACTTGTTTGAGAGAATCCAAAGATTGCTTGGAGCACAAGAGACTACAAAATTGAGATTTTTTCCGTCAAAATCACCAGAAAAATCCTTACTTGTTTGAGAGAATACAAAGATTGCTTGAAGCACAAGAGACTACAAAAATTGAGATTTTTTCGTCAAAATCACCACAAACAACAAAATCACCAGAAAAATCCTTACTTGTTTGAGAGAATACAAAGATTGCTTGGAGCACAAGAGACTACAAAATTGAGATTTTTTCCGTCAAAATCACCACAAACAACAAAATCACCAGAAAAATCCTTACTTGTTTGAGAGAATACAAAGATTGCTTGAAGCACAAGAGACTACAAAAATTGAGATTTTTTCGTCAAAATCACCACAAACAACAAAATCACCAGAAAAATCCTTACTTGTTTGAGAGAATACAAAGATTGCTTGGAGCGCAAGAGACTACAAAAGTTGAGATTTTTCGTCAAAATCACCACAAACAACAAAATCACCACAAAAATCCATCCTTGTTTGAGAAAATACAAAGATTGCTTGGAGCACAAGAGACTACAAACTTTGAGTTTTTTTCCATTAAATCAGCCACAAGATTTGCAATTTAACAACAAAATCACCAGAAAATAATCCTTACTTGTTTAATGTTTTCTTCCCCTGCAAGTAACACTTTCCGAGAAAAATTCAACAATCTGAAGAATGTAAAACGCAATCGATTCAACTCAGGAAACAACGATTCACGAGAATCAGAATCACAAGATCAAAGCCTTAAAGTATCGATTTCAATTAAGAACAACATTTTCCCGCCAAATTTTCTCGGGAAAAAAAAAAATCACCGAAACTCGAGAGAAACTCATCACATCTTAACAGAAATCGAACGATCGAAGTCTAAAAGGAGACGAATAACAAACGATTGGATCGTAAAAATCAAAATCAAAGTAGAGGAAGAATCGGTAACGGAAGAGGAAAGCAATCGATTGAATAACAGAATGAGAAAGATCTAAAGCTCGGAAACTAGAAGAGAGATCGAGAATCGCATACCTTTAGAGAAAACGAGTAGTTAAGTGGTGTTGCTCTGTTTCGGTAGCAGAGAAGCTCGAGAGACGAGGGAAAGTTTCAGATTCGAAAGGACGGAGGAATGTGACAGTTAACGTCTGTTGTGTATATATACAGCTAACGGAAAAGATAACGGTGGTAAAACGTTCTCTGGTTTCATTTAACGACTTTTTTGACGGAGAGTTTCTGAACCTTTCCAGTAAACCGGTTAAATTGAAATAAACCGAACATGCTTTTACAATTTCAACCCCAATTCAACCCAAAAAGCTCCGGTTTAAGTAACAAGTAAACAATAAGAACACTCAAAAAAAGAAAAGAAGAACACTCAATGTTTCTACAAATGAATGTGTTCGTTTGTGTTTCAGAAAAAAAAAGAATGTGTTCGTTTTGGCGGCAAATTGGTTATTGTTTAAACAATTTTTGTAAAACCAATTCACTGCAATTTAAAACCGTTTTAAATCAATTTTAATTGATTTAAATCGATGTAAATATGTTTAGTTAAGTAATTGCTGCAAATCTATAAATTTATCTAGATTTTTTTGTATACCTAGTTTTGTAATTTATCAGAATAATTTTCACAAGAACTAAAATATTTAATAGGAAAGTACAACTTTTATTAAAAAAATATCATTCCCTCGTATATTACCCAAATATACAGTTTAATATTTATAGTAAAATCTCTATAAATTAATAATGTTGGGACTACACCAAAATTATATTTTTTATTATTTATAGAGATTATTAATTTATCGATATACTAACAGAACCAAAAGTTTAATTTAAGACTATAAAATTATATTATTTTATAAGAGATTTTTAGTGTATATTAATTTATAGAGTATTAATTTAAAGAGTTTATACTCTAGTTTTATAGCAGTTACCATTTAAACAATTTTTGGAACATTAAGAATACTTGTACTGTGTACATTGCAAAAACCTTTCCATTAATCAGAATAAACCGAAAATGGTTTTACAATTCAAACTAAGAATCTCCGGTTTAAGTAACAAGAAAGCAATAGGAACACTTTTACTACATTGCAACATTCCAAATTAAATAATTAAAGACTGGGGTTCGAGCCATCGACTACATCTTCAGGTCAAGACTCGTTACAAGACCATACAAAAACACAGACCCATGAATATACAAAGGACCAAAGAGAGAAAGGCAAACTATACATATTACATAAGCTTTTACACAGATTCTACAGCTTCTTGGTGGTGGAGCAAAGCTTCCAAGTTCCATCAATGGAGTTGTGTCTGGTTCATGCTGCCATTAAGCAGAGACATTAGCCCTCCCCCATGAACTCTCTCCTCCGGAATCATAAAGTCAAACACGTTCCTCCCATTGCTGTTGCTACTGTTGTTTGGTGGTCTCTCAGTGTCTGTGAAGCTTAAAGATTTCATGGATGGTGGCACAAGAACCTGCATTGGTATCATCACCTTCTGTCTTTTCTCAGGACTGTAATGATGCAGCTGGTGAGAACGGTCAATAGAGTCTGTGCAATCAGAGAGAACACTGACTCCAGACTGAGAATGATCTGTTGTAGTAGTAGTGGTAGTGGTCTGAGAAGAGGTAGAGACAAGTCCACGGAATAGTCCAGGACCAATCAAACCAATCTTACTCCCACCTTTCTCCTGACACATCATACTATTATGCGCAGCGCATAAACCACTCTTCCCTCTAGCAAACTTCTCACACACCCCTCCCCAAGAACACCGTTTCCCACCACCATGCGCCTTACAAAAGTCAGTACTCCCTTGAGCACTCTTCTCACACCCAATAGACTTACACCGTTTCCCACCACCATGCTTCACACAACAATCAGTCCTCCCACGAGCACTCTTAGTACACCCTGCAACCACACATCTCTTCCCACCACCATGAGCTACACAGAAACTCGTCCCACCATGAACACTCTTAGGACAAATCCCACCTCCATCAAACATGCAACGCTTCCCACCACCGTGAGCTTTACACAGCGGTGTACTCCCTTCAGCTCCTTTAGTACATCCAGCAAATATACAACGCTTCCCACCACCATGAGCTTTGCAGTAGTTTGTACTCCCTTGAGCACCTTTAGTACACCCTGGTGCCTGACAACGCCTCCCACCACCATGTGAAATACAAAGCCCAGCTTGTCCTTCAGCACTTCTTGTACACCCTTCAATCCTACACCTCTTACCACCACCGTGTTTGATGCATAGCCCTGACTTGCCACGTGCAGCTTTAGCACATCCCTCAGGGAACCCACAACGTCTTCCACCGCCGTGAGATATACAGAAGTCTGTTTTCCCTTCAGCGCTCTTTGTACACCCCAAGTGTTGGCATCTCTTTCCTCCACCGTGGGCTTTGCAGAAAGTAGTTTTGCTCTCAGCGCCTTTGTTGCAGCCTGGCTTTTGACATCTCTGCCCACCTCCATGCCCAATGCAGAGCCCTGATGCTCCTCTAGCTCCTTTGGTACATCCCATGAACTTGCACTTCTTAGGGTTTGTCGTCCTATGCTGAGAAGAAGTAGTAGCAGATACTGTTCTGTCAGAGAAAGAGAACTCTGACTCACACTGGCTCAGCTGTGAAGGTTTTCTAACGGTTTCAGTCCTCGGAGCGAAGAGAAGCGATGACATATAGCCACCTGAACGTTTTGCAGAGGTGGAACCCTCATCAGCTTGGGAGACATTAGTCTCTGTATATGTCAGCAGCGAACAATCAAGGCCGCTGAAAGTATCCATGGTGGTCACAGCAGGAGGACCGAGTTGCAGAATTGAGTTACCTCCTGATGAGAAAGTCCCAGAAGAAGCTGAGACTTTGTTGACACTGTTGTAATAATAAGAAGGAGGTGTTGGACCTAAACCAAGAACCAAGCCGCAACCACCATCAGGACAGTTGGAAACATCAGAACAAAGCTTATGGTTGTAGTGAGTGGTTCCAAGGCATTTCAAGGTGAGAGCAGTGTCACCGAAACTATCAAGCTTTGCAATACCGTTGGCAAGAGAAAAATGAACGTTACTCTCGTTCAAATCCATACGAAGAAGCCGTGAAGGGAAGCACAATAAGAAGAGAATATGCCTAGAATACTTAAGAACACAATCATAAAAGCAACTTGAGATATAAACATCTCCCACCACTAACAAACCCCCATGTGTCTGCCCTGTCCATCTTCAAGGATGAGCAAGAAGCAAGAGCCTTTCTGCAATAGTTACAAAAGAATCTCAGTCAGTAAAAAGCTAACACAGAAGAATAGTAAACACTAAAGTAACATGAGACTACAGTGAAATACAAATTGCAGTTAATGGGAGTTAAGAGATTCTAAGTACAGACCAATAATTGGTTTATAACTGTGCTTGAAAAGGACTAAGCACCAACCAAGGTGACTTATGGTTACAACTTTTTTTGTGGTATTGGGTTAAAAAGTGAAACGTGAGGGTACATATATCACTTCAAAGCATAAGTGAAGGAGGAAAAGGATAAGATAAGATTGGTCTAGAAAATAGTACAAAGTAAAACTCAATTAATTATTTTTTTACACAAACAACTAAGTAACTAATAAATAAAATTCTGAATTGTTTGAGAGATCATTAAGACTTAATAACATGTATCATAACCTTAAAAGTCAAACCTTTTTTGACAAGTGATAACAACAATGTCTCAGGAAATTTTATTGTAGATAAAAAGATCCAAACACAATAGCAAGATCTAAGGAAATGATTTTTAAAACAAAACAAAAACCAAACAAAAGATTCTGAATTTTATGTTTTACAAGTTCTTAATTTTGCTGAAGAATATCTAAATTCACAACAAACTACAAAGTAAATCTTTTTTGCAGCAGAAGTAAAATAAATAAGATAAACAATTCAATCATACTATAAAGTTAAAGAACATATTCACTTTCAGAACAAACCCTCAAAGAGCATGAGACAGTTACAGAAACAACCGTAAAAGGTAATAAAAGAACAAAACAAGCCATGCATTCTGTGATGCATCGTTAATTACTCAACTGATCTGTAATAAAAAGAAACTAAATTTTATTACAGTGAGAAATACAAACCTGATGGATCTGAGAGACGGACAGAGATAGATAGATTCCGTAAGCAAAAAAAAAAAAAAAAAATCTTTGTAAACTGAGAATCTCCTCGTCGAAGAAGAAGACACAAAGAGAGTGAACACAGGTGTCGAAATATTATCGGGCGAAAAAAGAAAGAGAGAGGAGAGATATTATTTATAAGCGTGGACGCTTCAGGTTCTTCTCGTTTATAAACGGCGAGGAAGAGAGTATCCATTTGAATTACCCGAAACACCCTTTTGTCCCCGTCTATGGTAACGGTTCTTATTGGATGCGACAGTGCTCTATTTTGGGAAATGCATTAAATTTGCTTTTCGATGAAAACGACGCCGTGTTGGGAGGGAAAAGACTTATATGCCCCTTTGGTTTCTGTTTTTATTAGTGATGAATGATGTTGCGACAAGTCACTTCTGTGATAATAAGAACCGGACACCGTCTTAACCGGTCAAAACTGATTCCTTACCTATTTTGTATGATGTCAGCGAAATTTAATATAAATAATTGGTGATATGATATAATCAGCTGATCGAGTTTTACAAACTTGATGATGTCTATTATTTAAGATTTTTTTAATTAATGAGACAAAGAACTAAAAAATAGTATTTTACTCATGCCAGAAATATGGAGTAAAATATAGAATTAGCTGGCATCATGTAACCTAGTATTATTGAATTAGATCCCACTATCCAAATGCAAAGCACTTGTGGCATAAAAGCTTCTATAAAAACATTTACGAATCTATCTTTAAATTTTTACATCTAGATCCATATGTTCAAATGGTCAGGTGATCTATTCAAGCAGAATACATGTTTTAATCAAAAACATTGATTGTATATTGTGTACATATATATAAGAAAATAAGCACAAAAATACACACATAAAGGAACATGTAAATGATTAATGGGTGGAAAATGTTAGATGTGTGTTGTGAGGAGAAGTATGGACAATTTATTTTATATTTTACGGTACATTTTTTAAAAAAAAAAATTGTGGTGTGATGAGAATTGTAGCAACGGACCACAACCATATTGATGAAGACTAATCAAATAAAAGAAACGAAACTTGATTTTTATGTTGTTCCAAGAGGCAATTCCTATTACGTCGCCAATGGGTTCCTTGCAGAGTGGAAGAATCTATCATATTATTTTCATTATATTGAGTTATATATTAGAGGAAAAGTACAAAAATGAAATAAAATAAAAGGGAATCTTACTATTTTATCATTGAGTCGACGATTCCGTCAGCCTTGTCCTCATCTCTCCACGCGAACTTGCTGACGTCCACAATATTTTTTTTTTTTTTTTTTTTTTTTTTTCACAGACGTCCACAAT